TCCTGGAGAGATTAAAGGACGCACTGGAGACAGAACTCCGACCAGAACAAGCTGGATTCAGGAAAGGCAAATCATGTACTGACCGAATTGCAACTCTACGCATCGTCATCACAGAAGAAATCATTGAATGGAAATCGAACCTCTACCTCAACTTTATAGACTTTGAGAAGGCCTTCGACAGCGTTGACCGCGAAGTAATTTGGAAACTAATCGAGTACTACAGCGTACTCCAAATATTCCTCAACCTTATTCAACAGCTGTACGACAATGGCACCTGCCAAGTGAACCACAATGGAAAACTTAGCGAGGCGTTTGGAGTAAACACAGAAGTCATACAAGGGTGCTTACTATCACAAATGATATTCCTAATTGTAGTGAACTGGATTATGCGTCGTCAGACTGTGGGAAACGAGAAGACAGGAATATCCTGGACCGACGTGAAGAACCTAGAAGACCTGGATTTCGCGCGTGGATGATTTATGTTTGGTGTCACACATAATCGAAGACTTACAAGCGAAAACCGACAAACTGGTCGAAGAAGCAGGTAATGAAGACAGAACAGACTGCAGGTGAACATAGACAAGACGGAGGTTAGGAAAAGGATCAACCAACAACAGTAACAACATCCAACGCCAATCACCATCAACGGGAGGGATTTGAAAGAGGTTACTTCATTCACTCACTTATCTAGGGAGCATTGTCTCAACTACAGGAGGAGCGGACGAGGATGTCAAATCGAGAATCGGGTGGGGGCGAGAAATACATTCATCAACCTGAAATCAATCTGGAAATTTTCGTCACTCAGCATCACCAACAAAATTCGGATTTTCAATACAAACGTAAAGTCAGTTCTTCTATACGGATCAGAAACTTGGCGGGTGGGTCACAAAGAATATTTCCAATAGGCTGCAGACCTTTATTAACAACGGTCTTCGCTCTATACTGAAGATCAGATGGCCGGAAAGAATCATCAACAACGAATCATGCGAACAAAGCAAGAACCAATCGCCAGCCAACAAATATGCAGGAGAAAGTGGAGATGGATCGGACACTCGCTGAGGAGACCACTGGGTGACATCGCGCGTCAAGCCCTCGAGTGGAACCCGAAAGTGAAGCGGCGTGTGAGACGTCAGTGCAAGGGTGACATGGAGGAGATCGTGTGAAGAGGAGTTGAAAGAATATGGATTAACATGGACTCAGGCGAAAAGTATAGCAGAAGACAGAAGAAAATGGAGACTTGCATTTGAAGCCCTATGTTCCACTAGGAACCCTAGGGAGCAATAGTGATAATAAGACAAGCTGTACACTGTATATCGTGAGCGCACTAATGAAAACTAAATTTTGTTTGTCCTACGTTGATTCAGACTAACGTTTTAGTGAACATCATATCTCGTTAATGAGTAATAATGACAAATACTCGACCAGAACCAAATTTATACGAAGCCCAGACTGTGAAAAAACTGGATTCGAGCCTTTCGTTTTCCGTTCATTCATGAATAAATCTTTCACAAGCCTATAAATATATAAGTGCCATTATGAGTGCTATCATTCCTGAGATCCTGATGTTTATTCAAATTCACTAAGACTTTGCAAATCGCATGTGTGGAAAAAGATTCGAGTTTCGGTTAACATCAGTGTCAAGTCAGTCCGTATTTACTATGCCGTCCAGATACTTATGCGTATGTCACTTAAGAGGATTTGAAGTCTGTTGTCTTCTAATGATACTGAACATTAGAATGCCTATCAGTAAGGATAAACACCACGAGACAGACATGATAGGGATGAAGAACAACAAAACGGAAATATACTGAGGAAATGTTCAGGTGGTGTCATACGCCAGACATTCATGTGGTGCGTTGTATTTTCACATGGAAAAGCTCATGTGACCAGAAAATATAGACTTGTGGACATTTATGAACTCATCTGACAGTAACCGCTTGGAAGCCAGCTCAACATTTTGTCCTGCGCAAAAAGCAAAGGATATTTAAAAATAATAATAATAACTGGGTGAATCGAACGCCTTATCAAAGATAATTGCCGATCGAAACGATTATATCAGTAATTATATGAGGAACACCTCTGCGTTTCTGGTGATAAAGCACAATTCATCAATTAAATTATACATTTAAGCGAACCATAATGTGGTTCTCAATTAGATCTCATCAGGTTTAACTCTAACATACATAAGTTTACGAACAAAAATTCAAATATAATCCAATCATGTTGCTTTGTCTATAGGATAATACGATGGTGAATATAAATTCTGCAATTAGACATAATACTTAATATCATCAAAAAGTTTGAGCACTGTGGATTAGATCAAATAAAGTATAATAGTATTATTGATAATAATATGTACGGATGAACTCTTACAAAAGGAATTTGAATATATTCACGATTCCTTGACGGAGATGGGCTATCCGAGTAGTTTCATAAAGAAACATATGAAACACCAGAGAGGAAACCTTTATTTATTGAGTTACAAATTAATGGTGACTTATCTAGTGAGATTCTATTCCCAAGACTTTAAAGGAGTATACGTAGAATATTTTACGCAGCACACCTATGCTTGTCATTCTCTAGCCGACGAATGATTGGGACGAAAACGAAGGATAAGCTTGATAGTTTTGCCACATCTATGTGTATTTATCAATTCAACTGCACCTGCAGTGACAGTTATGTTGGGCGTACTTCTAGACAGTTTAGCAAACGTGTTGGTGAACATCTCCAATCGTGGTTCGGTAAAAGACAGATGAAAACAGTCCTTAGCTGGACTTGTCATATTTAAATGGTAGTGGTCATGTGGTGGAGAAAACGAGAGCTTTCAAAGTAATACATCGCATATCACTGAATCTTTCCAATAGACATCGTATTCTTCTACTGCACCCGCACAGTTGAGACGATTGGCATTCGAAATATTAAACCTAAACTATACTCGAAAAATACCCATTAATTCATCAGTAAAAACACAGTTTTTGTTCAGCGAAGAAATTTCTTTTCAACGACTTCATTTTCAAGCTGTACAGTCGTATTTATATTACAGAAAAAGGTTATTAAGTGGCACTAAATAATTGCTCAGTCAATGTACGTATATGTAATAAAAGTTATAAGGGGTAGAGTTGAAGTGGATAAATTACAAAAATATTAAAGATTGTATTATAACAAAAATGGCACTAAATAATTGATCAGTCAATGTACGTATATATGTGATAAAAGTTATAAGGGGTAGAGTTGAAGTGGATAAATTACAAACATATGAAAGATTATTCTATAACAAAAATGTCAAGTGTTGTCTAACAAATTATGAAAATTAGGAGTACGATTACGATAAGAATGAAGATGTGAAGTGAAGTGGAAAGAATTCAAGTGGTAAAATAAAATAAAAACTAGAAAGAAAATTATTATGACCAAGGTAAAGAAAGGGGTTTGACAAAACGCTTTTGAACACATAATTTAGGTTTCTGTTCATGTATAGCTAAAGCTTCGGCTATGCATAAGTGCAGAAAACGTAAACTTTTGGATCGATTGGATTTTGCCATGTATATAACTTTGAAGGATGAATCACGTGGGGCTAAATGACCAGACTCTAACAGGTGATCACAGATAGACGACTTTGCAGTTCTACGTTCGCCTTTCATTAACCAAACCGGATAGTGTTCAGCTACACGTTTTCGGAGATTACGCTTACAACGTCCAATATAAACAGCTCCACAAGAGCAAGTAAAAGAGTAAATGCACATAGATGTGGACAAAAGCGGTAATCTATCCTTGACGCATTGTCTAATCATATTTCGGCTGGTAAAAACTAGATGCAAGTCAGCTGCAGGAAAAGTACGTTTAATACATTTAGATAAACGATTTTTAATCAATTCTGAAATGGTGTCACCTTTGAATGCAAGACTCATAAACAGTTTTTTCTTTGGTACTGTGACTTGTCTCGGGGTGGATTCTTTCTTGATGTTACGTTCAATGAACCTTTTGGGATAACCATTATTAAGGAGATTTGATCGAAGGTTGTCTAGTTCCCTATCGATTGTCTCTGGAGAGCAGATCTTACGAATTCTGGAGCATAAGGAGTGAATAAGATTTCTCTTTCTCCCTAAAGGTACCCAACTGTTGAAGTTAGTGTACTGCCCAGTGAATGTTGGCTTTCGGTAAATCGACCTAAGAAGCGTTCCATTCTCTCTTCTATCTAGCTTAACATCAAGAAAGTGAAACGAAGAATCCGACTCCTCTTCGATCGTGAAAAGCAAAGATGGGTGAGAACCATTAAATATTCTAAGAAGTTCGGCAGTTGAAGTGTTTTCATCACATACAATGAAGGTATCATCAACATATCTTTTATACATAAACAGACTATCGATGGTTTCCTTTAGTGGGCCATTCTCTAAGCTAGCCATGAAAACGTCCGCTAAGAGCGGTCCTAAAGGAGACCCCATGGCGACTCCATCTCTTTGGTTGTAGATGACATCATTAAATCTAAATTGCACATTCAGTGTGCATCTCAATAGTAGTTGTTTAAGATAATCAGTTGGTAAGCCAATGTTCATGTTATTTGATTCAATATACTCGCATAGATAGCAGATAGTGTCTACTAGTGGTACATTTGTGAACAATGAACAAATATCTAACGAAATCATATGCTTACCAGTCACATTAATTTCATCAACACAACTGACGAAGTCAAAAGTGTCGGAAAGACTATGTTTACATAGATTCAATCTAACTGGTTCCAGAATTTCCGCAAGCCATTTAGCGGTAGAGTGATACGGCGAATTCAGCATATCCAATACAGGTCGCAGAGGGACATCATCTTTGTGCACCTTTGGGAGACCATATAAACGAGGGATAGTTGAACCAGATGGTTTAAGCTGTTCATACATATATGGAGTAATGATGCATTCTGGAACCAGTTAGATTGAATCTATGTAAACATAGTCTTTCCGACACTTTTGACTTCGTCAGTTGTGTTGATGAAATTAATGTGACTGGTAAGCATATGATTTCGTTAGATATTTGTTCATTGTTCACAAATGTACCACTAGTAGACACTATCTGCTATCTATGCGAGTATATTGAATCAAATAACATGAACATTGGCTTACCAACTGATTATCTTAAACAACTACTATTGAGATGCACACTGAATGTGCAATTTAGATTTAATGATGTCATCTACAACCAAAGAGATGGAGTCGCCATGGGGTCTCCTTTAGGACCGCTCTTAGCGGACGTTTTCATGGCTAGCTTAGAGAATGGCCCACTAAAGGAAACCATTGATAGTCTGTTTATGTATAAAAGATATGTTGATGATACCTTCATTGTATGTGATGAAAACACTTCAACTGCCGAACTTCTTAGAATATTTAATGGTTCTCACCCATGTTTGCTTTTCACGATCGAAGAGGAGTCGGATTCTTCGTTTCACTTTCTTGATGTTAAGCTAGATAGAAGAGAGAATGGAACGCTTCTTAGGTCGATTTACCGAAAGCCAACATTCACTGGGCAGTACACTAACTTCAACAGTTGGGTACCTTTAGGGAGAAAGAGAAATCTTATTCACTCCTTATGCTCCAGAATTCGTAAGATCTGCTCTCCAGAGACAATCGATAGGGAACTAGACAACCTTCGATCAAATCTCCTTAATAATGGTTATCCCAAAAGGTTCATTGAACGTAACATCAAGAAAGAATCCACCCCGAGACAAGTCACAGTACCAAAGAAAAAACTGTTTATCAGTCTTGCATTCAAAGGTGACACCATTTCAGAATTGATTAAAAATCGTTTATCTAAATGTATTAAACGTACTTTTCCTGCAGCTGACTTGCATCTAGTTTTTACCAGCCGAAATATGATTAGACAATGCGTCAAGGATAGATTACCGCTTTTGTCCACATCTATGTGCATTTACTCTTTTACTTGCTCTTGTGGAGCTGTTTATATTGGACGTTGTAAGCGTAATCTCTGAAAACGTGTAGCTGAACACTATCCGGTTTGGTTAATGAAAGGCGAACGTAGAACTGCAAAGTCGTCTATCTGTGATCACCTGTTAGAGTCTGGTCATTTAGCCCCACGTGATTCATCCTTCAAAGTTATATACATGGCAAAATCCAATCGATCCAAAAGTTTACGTTTTCTGCACTTATGCATAGCCGAAGCTTTAGCTATACATGAACAGAAACCTAAATTATGTGTTCAAAAGCGTTTTGTCAAACCCCTTTCTTTACCTTGGTCATAATAATTTTCTTTCTAGTTTTTATTTTATTTTACCACTTGAATTCTTTCCACTTCACTTCACATCTTCATTCTTATCGTAATCGTACTCCTAATTTTCATAATTTGTTAGACAACACTTGACATTTTTGTTATAGAATAATCTTTCATATGTTTGTAATTTATCCACTTCAACTCTACCCCTTATAACTTTTATCACATATATACGTACATTGACTGAGCAATTATTTAGTGCCACTTAATAACCTTTTTCTGTAATATAAATACGACTGTACAGCTTGAAAATGAAGTCGTTGAAAAGAAATTTCTTCGCTGAACTAAACTATACTCATTCAAAGGAGTTCCTACAGCCATTATCCCTCCCTTGTTGGTCCATTAAGACATAACCAACTAATGACTATTACACCACCCTTCTTTATATTTTCAACCCCTTTCTTATCATCCCTTTATCTTATCACATCTTCATTATAAACCTGCTTCATTTACTTCCCTTACAATCTAACATTACTTAATCCGTTCATTTCTTTGAACTAGCCTTTATCGACTACTTCCACCTGAACATTTGTTTGTTTAATCATGCTGTTTTTCAATATTCGTGTTATAACAGATTGCCTCACTTTTTCATCCTTATTATTGATAAGACCATTATTACTACTATTATGACTAATTGCACAATTTATATTCACCATCTTATTATCCTGTAGGCAAAACATCATGATTGGTTTATATTTGAATTTTATTTGTAAACTTATGTATATTGGAGTTAAGCCTGATAAGATCTAATTGAAAACACAATAATGTTCGCTTAAATGTGTTGTTCTAAATTTCACCATAGGAATATTTAATATAATAAAATAATCAATTAACTCACTGAATGTTTTGATATAATTCACTAAGGTGAAAAATAAGCCGCATGAATATGTATACTAAAGTCACTGGTATTTTGACCTTAAAGATGAAATTCGCACAAAAGCCCGCAGAGAAAAATATTAGAAAATGATCATAATTGTCTTTTTTCATTAATTCATTATTATGTATTTGTCGATGAGTTGAGCCAATGGAGATATTTATTATCTAAAATAAATGATTTGTAGGACATGTCTTACAAGGACACTCTGAAAGAAGTAACAATGGTGTTTGATAATATTTTAGATATATTAGACTAGAGTATAAAACCGTGCATTGATAGTTATGTGGTAAAGCACTGGAAAACTGCACACGTGGAGTGGGATTTGATCCTCGACAGACACACTGCCTTGTCTCTTCTACAATATGGTAATCCCAGTAAAAACGCCGTATGAAAAAGTATAATATACATGCTCTAGAAACATAGAAAACCTAAGCATGGAGCCGTAAATCCTCATCAATATGCAAATGAATATTAATAAAGAAGGTTAAACAGACAGAAGCCCAAGGTGAGTAACACATGAAACTTACTATTTCTATCCTTTTTCTATCAAAGAAAGCATTTTGTCCTGAATATTGTCTCAAGAACGACTAAATCACAGAAAATGAGCAGTTATCAAACGTTCATTTTGTTAACCAGACGATCATTTTGCTTTTCAATACAAAAATATGAAGTGTGAGATAACACGAAATATATTTTAGTATGTATTCACACCTTTACGGGATTTGCGTGACCCACCGAGCGTCTTAAAGAACTTCTCCTGAATGCTAAATTCTATTTCAACAACGAAATATATCGCCAAAAGTATGGTATACTATGGGCTCACCCTAGGCCGATTGCTTGCAGATTTCTACATGGCAAAAACTCAAAACATATGCCTGAAGAAAATGATCGATACTTTTGAAATTTATAAGAGATACTTCTACAACACATTAATTATCGCCAACAATGAAGACAATCCAGACGACATCCTGGAGTCGTTTAACAACTGCCACCCCGCAATTCAGTTCACGCTAGAAAAAGTGTCCAACTCCAAAATATCCTTTCTTGACGTCCAGCTAACAAGACGAGAACAGAATGGAAGACTGAAAAGATCTATCCACAGAAAGTCGACATGGAACGGATAGCTTACTAACTTTCACATTTGGGTACCCCTAAACACCAAACGAAACCTGATTCTTTCACTCAGCTACAGAGTACGCAAAAGTTTTACCTCGGACACCGTAGAAGATGAACTGGACAATCTCAAGGGAATCCTCGTCGATAAATGTTATCAAGAAAGATTTATTACAGAATCATTGAATCCTAGACCACAAAAGCCGCCATTGCCTAACGTCCCCAAAAAACCACTCTACATAAACCTTCAATTCAATGGAGATATATCTGCGGAAACACTAAAATATCAACTGTCGCGTTCACTCAAGAAGACCTTCTTCGCATCTGAAGTACGAATAACTTTCTCCACAAAACCTATAATTCATGTAAACGTGAAGGATAAGCTACCACTGCTGCCCTCATCAATGTGTATTATCAATTGCAAGGCTCGTGTGGAGCCAGGTATGTTGGCCGTACCCAGCGTTTGCCTTCCAAGCGTATCACAGAACACTTACCAACATGGTTTTACAAAAGAGGAAAACGATGTCCCCGCAGCTCCATCTTAGAACTTCTGAAAGAATCCGGACACCAAGCTGCACCCGAAACAAACTTCAAAGTCGTCTACAGAGTGAGAAGTAGTCTTCCTAAAGGTGCACGAATAAGACTTATTCAAACTACAGAAGCAATGGTGATTTACATGCTAAGCCCTTAACTCTGCATACAGAAGAAGTTCATTCAATCACTTCACTTGCACTGGACTTAATCTATCTTATTACCCGTCAAGTAAGTTCTACCTAATCTTTTTTTGCTGCCTCTTCATTAGTATTATTTTGTCTTCGCAGTGGTAATATTTTGCATATTCAACTTTCTTGTTCTCTACCACCACCCGATTTAATTTCTGCACTTCACTACCACTGTTACTTACTTAACCAAAGGTCACTTTCTAGTCATTCATGTTACGTCATCAGACTTATTTGCTAAATTCCAGTTCTAATTTAAATAGGATTATTCTCTACCCTACTTCAACTTAGTGTCTACCTGTAATTATCTCTGTTGCTACTCTGACCTAAGTTGAAACACTTTGGTCAATTATATTACGTGATCTAACTTACTAACTAACTCAATCTTACTTTAGTTGCTGTCTAATTAACCTTGTTTCTATGTTAAACCATTCTTTTACTACCTGATCAGTTATCTAAACTTGACAAGCCTCATGTAAACACACAAATAATTATAAATAAATGCGATTATACAGCTGTGTGAATGAATTCGCCAAAAATTGTCTCTTCGTTGAACGTCCTCTTTTACAGGATTTGTTCAGTGTTCTGATTTCACAGGAAAGAGTATCCCAGATATGAATGTCTAAATGAATTTGGTCTTGACAAAATTATGACATAAATTTCTCATATTATTATTTTATTCTTTTACGTATACGAGCTTACCTTGTAACCGGAATATCCTGTGTTCGAACCCTGGTGGTGGTTGCGTACCGCCCATGTTTCCCAAACGAGGATGTAACGGCTGTCCAATACTCCCTGGTGTATTTTCAATGGTTCTCTAACTGATATCACTCCGTAGTAAAACTCGTATAAACCAATTTCAAACTTGCAAACCCGATCTTGAAAATTCACTGGTTCAGCCATTTCAATTATGTCGACATTACGCCCCATACTACTTATTCTCAACAGTAGTGTACAATACACCGTAAATATCTGCATGCTGGCAAATACACACAGCAGCTCATACTAGTTTCGACTTCATTCGTAATTCAACTTATGCGTGGTGTATAGTGCAGATAGTGACTTACTCATGTGATGCTTGTGAGTCATTGAGCAAATTACTGTTTCACGAAATTTTGCAGGTGAATCGAATAAATCATGTGAACAGCGTTGTTTGAAATACAATTGGTTTTAATTGATAATCTTGTCACTCGATAATAATTATTGGATAAAAGGTGAATAAATAGGACGTTTCGCTGATATCATTGCCTTCATTTTTCAACTATGCAGCGCTATCTGAATATTTTGTTGCTTAGTTTTGCAGTACTCATCCTGTGCAGCAGCGAAGTAGCTGGTTCATCACGTGAGTTCTCATATGATATTCATATAACCTTCGTAATTCTTTGTTTCATCAATATTTTTGATGATGTTTTGGCCAGAATAGTTGTGAATACAATTTAGTATATAGCAAAACACATAAAGTAGAATAGAACTGTTCATTAAATCACTGTCTGAATCGCGTTTCAAATGAAATATGTCGACTATAAATGTAGACTTACAGTGGATGAGTTCGAATTTGGAAACGGTTGGAATTATTTTAATTAAGTTGAATAGTTATCTGATTGACCTTTTGACTCGAAACCATCAGGGTCACCTTTTTATCTTGAGTCTACTAAACAAGCGGGAAGTGGAAATAGTTGCCTAGTGAGGTGTGCAAATTATCCTGGAATATTTGAAACGTGAAATATAACTCTGTGGCTTCAAGATCTAGGAATATTTATCGTTTTGCTTAGCTTTAGAAACTATTACTGCTTTCAAATACATCTCAAATATCTCAGTCTTTGTTTTGCTGAGCTTTTAAAGACACAAGGAAAAGCCGAAATGCCTCAGGAATGATTTGTTTCGTCTCTGTTTTCTGTGTAATATTTGTTCCTTGATTCAAGCTGAGTCATGTGACCTCATAATCAATGGAAATAACTTAACAGACCATATTATCCTTTTGTTCTATACCTTCTGTTTTCGTCGTACAATAAATGCTTGTTTTGATTATTTAACATTTTGCAGTTTTTGAAAGTGAGTTTTATTTGTCCTGTTTCTGAGTCTTATTTGAACTTATCAAAAGAGGAAGTTAATTTCATAAACTTTCCTCCACTGATACTTTATGCTTCCAGTGGAATAAACGGCTCCGAGGTACAGCTTAGAAGTATCCGTAGCAGTAGTTTCTTATATTTTCACGGTGCGGAATTGTTAGCCTCATATACACTCTTTTCTATTTTCCGGCCTAACCTACGGCCTATCGAGGTTTATGGGTGAATCACATGGGGTCAAACCTCAGACCATTTAGGTGGTCTTTGATAATGACCATTATTACGAAATCCTACCATGTTCTGATATTATAACTGAACACTTTTCATCGGTACAGTTATGATGTGAGGGTAGAAGAAGAATATCATTTGCTGAACTATATTGTTTTTCTTGTTTCAGTGGACAGACTTTGCTCCACATCCTTTCCACACAGTCACATACTGTATACTCCATTCATCTTCTGATATATTCAGATTCCATTCTATGGCCTGGTG